AAAGGGGAAGAGGCCATTGTAGATGGCACAGGGTGGGTGAAGGCGGTATGACTGGGAGGGTCCGACTGGCCAAGATTTTGTTCTTTGTCTTGGGGTGTGGGGTGTTAAGCGGGTGAGGGCCGTGTCCTCAGATGGGTGGCCTGGCCTGGAGTGGTCTTGGGAGGGCAGGAAGAGGATTTGGGAAGTGGTTTGGAGGTGAGATCAACTGGACTTGACATAGGAAGTTAGGGGACAGGTGAGAAAAGGACCAGCCGTCCTTTCTTTCCCGGGCTCCCGGCTTAAGGGTGAGGATGGTGATACTGAGAAGTTGAGTCTCTAGCAGGGCACTCATTCATGTTCAGCTTCCCTCCCTAATCCAATTAGAGACACACAGACTCTGGCCTCCCTGCCTTTCCCCAGGGCTGGACTGAGCCCTGCAGCCCCTGTAGCTCTGAACATGGGCAGCCCCTTAGGTGAAGCTGGCCACATCCATTGGATAGATGAGAAGACTGGGGCCCAGCCTTGTGACTCCCTCCCCCCATAGTCCTGCAGGACTGGGGTTTGACTGCCTATGAGTTTGGGGAATACAGACCCCCAAATTCTAGCCACCGTCATCCCTGGATTGCCTTGGGGAGCTAGAGGCTGCCAGGGTTTAGGGAACAGAGTCAGAAGGTCTGGATCCCAACATGCCATGTGGCTTGGGCCTCAGTTTCCTCTGCCTGGAAATAGGTACAGTCAGGTACTGAACCCCGGTACGAAGAATACAGTAATCAGTCAGTAATAAACTGAAACTCCCTGCCACTGAGCCAATGCTGACTCAAAATGACTCTCGAGGATGGGGTAGAACTGCCCCTGAGAGTCTCCAAGACTAACTCTTGACCGCACTAGAAAGCCTCATCTCTCTCCCAGGGAGCAGCTGGTGGTTTCGAACTGCCTACCAGGTGGTTAGCAGCCCAACCCACTGTGCCACCAGGGATTATTGGTAATTAGTGAGTCCTTTTATTGCCCTGTGAGCCCAGACCCTGGGTGTGTCCACCTTACTCGGGCCTCTGGGGCGGGACCTGGAGTTACTGAGTGGCCTCATCAGATAACTCTGCTCCTCTGGGTTGCAGGACTCTGGGCTTCACGCCCATCATTTTTCATGCAGGAATATCTGAGTCCAGAAGGGCACAAGGACTTGTTTGAGGCTCTACAGTGACTTGAGGACAGGGTTGGGTTTTACCTGTGGCCCAGCCCAGACCTCCACTCACCTGGTTCTTTCTCCAGGCGTCCAGGCCCTGGATAGCCCCAGTGGAAGGGATCCTGACTTGTACAGAGCAGGGCAGCTGCTGGGATACAGAGGGGGGCCCGCCTCTTGCCCCAGGGAAGCTGAAGAAGAACAGGGGCCATTGTGAGTGGGAGCTCCACAGCCCACTTACTAGACCCTCCTGGGGCTGCAGAGCCTGCCACCTGTGGCACCCTCCATCTCTGCCGGTGCCAGCCCGAGCCTGCACCCGCCCGCCCCAGCCACACTGGCAGAACCGGTTTTGGCCTGCAGCCCTGAGCGTGTTTGCTCGGTGAATGCGGGACCAGACACGTTCTAGCTACCCTGGCCCACAGATGGCTCCTCGCTCACTCCTTGCTCATTCCTTGCTCACTCAGCAGACATTCCCTGGACCTGGGCCGGTGCTGGGTGGGGCTGGTGGGGCCTGGAGGAATTTCTGGCTTGCACGTGTCCCTGAGTCGGGTGGTCAGAGGCTCTGCCATAGGGGCAGGGTAGGCAGGTGGCAGGAGAGTGTATTGGTGGAGGGCAAAGGCAGTGGAGCCAGACAGACTCGGACCAAGGCCTACCACCTCTTTACCCTGAGGGCCTTGAGCAGGGTCCAGCAGTATTTACTGAGCACATACTACATGCCAGACAGTGTTCTAACGGCTGGGGATACAGCCCAGAACCCAGCAGGCAAGCATCTCCGGGGTCAAGGAGCTGACATTCTCGTTGAGGAGACACAAAGCTCGCAGTCTACCAGGAAAAAGGGTGCATCCTTTGTAAGCAGATGGGGCCGCGGGCTATGACTGGAGGAAACGCCTCCAGGCGGTGAAGAGCCAGTGCAAAGGCCCTGAGGCACTGAGGGACAGCCAGGAGTTCAGGGTGCTTGAGGAGGCCCAGTGGTATCGTGGGCTTATCTGTTGGGCTGCCAACTGCAAGCTCAGCCGTTCAAATCCGTGGGCGGTTTTACCCTGTCCGGGACGGTTGGAGTTGGAGCTGACTCTCTATCCCAGTGAATTTTGTTTGGGTTTTGGGAACAGAGTAAGTGCAAGGGAACGTCAAAAGCAATGAAGGCCGAGAGGGAGGGGCTAGGTCAGGGAGGACCTCACAATCCTTCTTAAAACGTTGAAATGGGAGGGGCGTGCATCTGGCTGCAGCAACGACAGAGCCCTGGGGTGTTACAGTGGGTGGTTAACGCTGAGGTCAGTGGTTCAAACCCGCCACCTGCTCCACAGAGAACGGTGAGGCTTTCTGCTCCAGTGCAGGTTTGCATCTTGGAAACCCTGTGTGGAACGGCTCTGCCCTGTCCCAGAGGGTTCTCTGAGCCCGATTGGAGTCGATGGCAGTGGGTGGGTGAAGGGAGGTGGGCCAGTGGGGTGCCCACTGTGGAAGGTGGCGCTGGTTTGCTCCTGACTGCAAAGAGGAGAGCCAGGGGTCAGACTTCTTTTTCTGGGGCGTGATTTCAGTCGTCCCTTTCTCTCTGTATGATGGAGTGGTGTTCGAGCAGTCAGCTTTCATGAGCTACCGCTGAGCCCCAAGCACCACCAGCCGGGCCTGCCGTACCTGCCCCCTCCCCAGGCCATTGTAACACATCGCAGGCATCCCCTTTCATATGAAATATTTCAATGCGTATCTCTAAAATACAGGCTCACGTTTAAAAAACAAACAACCACAAACAGCCCACAGGGCTATATTCACGCCTGAAAGCGATGAACAGTGATGTTTTTTTTAAAAAAAACAACAACTTTCTAGTATGAATTAGGCGAAGGTCGACAAAGCAGATCGTATGTATATTCGGCAATTCACACCCCTCTTGTTTCAACTCGCCTCTTTCACTCCTGAGCAGGGATTCTTTCTGAAAAGTCTCCAAACCAAACTCGCTGCCATTAAGTTGGTCCTGACTTGTAGGGACCCTCCCCTGATAGACCAGGGTTCCGATGGTGGACCGGTGCCTCTGGGCCTCCCTTCCTGGGCTGTTGTGCGATGGATGAGAAAAGAGGCTGCTTGTACCTGAGCCTGCCGCACAGTTGGTCCTCAGCTGCCCCTGTTGCTTTGATGACCGTCATGCAGGTGTCACCCATTAGATTAACACCTGGCTCTACTTGAAGAAATGCGACCTTCATTTAATCCTCACCTCCACCCTCTGAGGTGGCTGTTACAGTCACTGCTTTTTATAGGGGGGTGGAAAGGAGCCCTGTTGTCTCTCTGGGGTATGTGGCAGACTGCTAACCCCAAGGCTGGTGGTTCAAACCCACCAGCTGCTCCTCGGGAGAAAGAGGAGGCTCGTTGCTCCTGTAGGGAGCTCTGGTGGTATAGTGTGTTACACATTGGGCTGGGAATCACAGAGGTAGCAGTTCAAACCCACAAGTCATCCTGCCGGCGAATGATGAGGCTGTCTACTCTTTAAATAGGATTTAAAGTCTCCAAAACCCAGCGGGGCAGCTTTTCCTCTGTCGTTTAGAGTTGCTATGAGCCAGAGTCATCTCAATGGCAGTGTCTGCTCCCATAAAAATGTATGGCCTGAGAAATTCTACATAGGGTCTCTGTGAGTCTGAATGTGTGTGTGTGTGTGTGTGCGCGCGCGCGCAGATTATGGGTGAGGAAACTCTGGCACAGAAAGGTGAAGTAACTTTCCCAAGGTCAGAGCTAGGAGCGGGAGATAGAGCTGAGGCTGTCTGCATCTCTGTGTGAGCCTGAAAGGCGGGGTGTTTCCCTCAGCCTGGAGGGCGGGACTGAAGTTCAGTGGTAAGAGCAGGAAGGTGGGCGTGGGGGTTCTGGGGTGGGAACAGCACGTGCTGAGCCTGTGGCTGGAGGAGAGCTGCGAGCAGGGAGCATACAGACCTGTCCCCTTTGGGGCTGGGCCCTGTGAGCGGCGGGCAGACCCTTTAAGGCTGTGGTCATCTTGTGGACCGCTGTCCCCCGCCCTCAGGCTCCATTGTGCTCTTACCATCCACCCCGTCTTCACGCAAGGGAAGGGAGGGCTGGGCTTTCCTGAGGCCATCTGCGGGCTTTTGGGGGTGCTGGTCACAGGTGTTCCTGCCCACTAGTGTCCCAGAGGGAGATGCTGCCTGAGTGTGGGCGGGGAGGAGGGGGCACTGTGTGTTCCCAGAGCGGAGATGCAGCTCGAGCTGCCTGTAGGGAACAGCAGGCGCCGTGGGCAGGGGCCGGCTGGCAGCTGTCCCCCAAGGCCCACCAGACTGGCCGTAGGGGGTGGGGGCAGTTTAGACCGTGGAAGGGAGGTCCCAACCTCTCTGACCTCTCCAGCCCTCAGGTGCTCCCTGGGGCAGAGGACACGGCTGTGCCCTCTGCAATGCCTGCGTTCTTGGGCATGGGCCTTGGGTGCGGGGGAAATGGGGGAGGGGGTGCAGGGGTGCTGGAGCCACCCCGTGTCCTTGTCTTTCACCTCACTTTGCGGCCGACGAAACTGAGGCTGGGTGGCATCGATGACCTGGCTCCTGGCCTTCCTCCGGATGTCAGACCTCTGGACCTTGGTCTAGGCTGTGTCCCCCTGTCTGGGTGACGCCCCCCACCGTGCATCACTGACCACCTGGCACCCGGCCTTGTACCCCTTCTAGAAGAAGCCCATAGTGCTGTAGGCTCACGTTTAAAAAGAAGCTGGGGACTGTCAGCCCCCGACAGGGTGACCATGGAAAGACGCCTCAGCCCCCTGCCCACCTGATCCTCTCAGGACCGGAGAAAACCCTCATGTCCCCTCTCTCTTTCAGGCCTTCCTGACCTGACTTGCTGGCCACGCCTCCCTTGAAGCCTCACCTTGACCCCCTGACACCTGACTTTGGAGCCAGCCCCTACTCAGGTAAACAGGGATCCTCCTCCTCGTCCATCCTTCCACCCACGAGCCCCACTCCCCTTCTCACACCTCCTCGGGGGCTCAGTGGTGAGTGGCCAACGGGGTTAGGGGCCCCTCTGCTCTGAGTTGGAACCTAGCTCTCTGCTTCCTGACTGGGGCAGCCTCCCGGTGGTCCAGCTCCCTCTGGGACTCTTGTGAGCATGGAAGGGGTAGGTGGCCCCAGGATGGAGGCTGTGCGTCCTTGAGGTTCACCTGCACCTCCACGCCATCCCTCACTCAGCTGGTCGAGGTGGCTGAGAAGAGCCCAGCCCCAGGGTCCCCTTCCTTTTTCCAGCCCGTCTCTCTGGCCCCAAGTGGCAGCCCTCACTGGCGGGGCCGGCTCAGAGAGCAGGAAGGAACCTACCAGCTTGCTAG